AGGTATACTATGTATAAAGCAAGTCAAGTAAACTACTTGAGCATAAAACAAGTCACATTGTATCAAGGGCAGCCGTGATTATAGTTTGTTCATCTTTAAAAAAAATCTAAAATGATCACTCGGCAGTGGGTCCAGTTCAATAATTTTTTTTAAATTGCGTCGACGGGAACAGAAAGGAACAACAACAGAGGGAAACACACCTTTGGTGGCTTGAATGGGTAATCAGGTGGGAAATGGATGGTGACCAAGAAAACTCCACCAGTGTAAGGGCTCTCTGGAGGGCCCATGATTGTTGCTTGCCAATGAAACATGTCCTCAGCAACAGGGCCTATAATTTAATGCAACGTTAAAATGAGAACAAACTGTTATATACAAGTGACAGGTTAAAGAATGGTAATAGAAAACCTAGGATCTAACACAACGACCCATTACACTCTGCCACACTATTAATATATACAAGTAGTTTATTAATCTTTAGAATAAATGGTAAGCCTTATCAATATAAGTAATATTTATACGGAGTACTATCTAACAAAAAACAACAAGAAAAAAAAATCTCAGAAGAGGATCACGAAATTTACTACTCCAGATGGAGAGGTGGGAATAGAAACTTAGGATGTGTTTGGTTCATTGGAAGGGGTGGGGAGAGGTGGGATTAAAGGGGTGGGAAAGTTTTGGCTCCCTATCCTAAAAATGTTATGAACCAAATGAAGGTATATGAGCACTTCACCCCCCCTCCAAAATCTTCTCCAACCAAACATACCCTTTGTTCAAACTTACGGGATCATACGTACAATATACTCCTACAAATTTCTTATACACACAAAAGAATTTGCACGTAATAACTCTTAACTCAACACCAACAACAAACCCAGTAGAACTCCACAAAAGTAGTGTAACAAACTGATAGAATTTATAATGGGGAAGTTATTGGACAGTTTGGACTCGGTCATAAAAAACTTGGGTTGAACCACATTAAAAGATTGAATTCAATCAATTAGTTAGTTCAATTCAAGAGCTTATATGCCGATTTGTTTTCTTATCAAGTTCTGATGTGAGATACTTTAACACTCCCCCTCAAGTGGACAATCGGGCCATTTTGAATCTAACCAGTTGATCACTTGCAAATGAATTCCAATCCCTTTGATCTTTTTAGCACCGACACCTAAAGGACCGCGAGCCGCTGAGTATGAAGTTCAGAAGAGCGATCGGGTTAAACGGGCTACAAGCAATTGGGTATACATTCCACACGGACAACTGGGCTGAAGACTAGGGTCACTAAGAAAGAACGTCTAGACGGATACGTTGAAAGACTTGGTAATTAATCGAACCGAGTCATTCAGTTCCAAAATTCTTCACAAACATTACTTCTATTGTCAGACCCCTACTTGACACTAGAGAGGTTGTTTCTAAGAGATCTGACTCGAGCACAATAGTATGAACAAATATACATGTTTGTGGTTATATGCTTGACTTGATTTAATAACCATATGTATAAATCATTGCAGCTAATTATGCCAAAAAGGTACAAGCTTCAACATGAGTCCGATAAACCAAAGCTGATCTAATCATACACGATTTTCAAAATCACAGGCAGAAAAAAAGAATCAAATATAAGTAACACATAGCTTTGCTGCAAATCTGCAATTGCATAGCATCAAACACAGATTAATATTAAAGGCTGAAGAAAGATAAGATTTTCTTTGATGGTTAAACCTAACAAAGGGTTTCAGATTTACCAGCACTGCAAGAAGTGGGAGGGTCTTTCTGCAGATCCTTGAGCTCCTTCAAGATCCGCTTGGAAGCCATGCCTATCAGTCCAGTAAATCCGAGCTCTAACCTTTCAAGTTTGCTTTTTTATTTCGTCCCAATTTCAAAGCAAAAACAAAGCGTCAATCTTGAAATACCATACTCCGATTCGTTAATCAGAGAAAAAAACGGATAAAACAAAAATCTGAAATTGAACCTGATAGAACAAGGGAATCCGATTCGGACCCTCGGGGGTTGGCGCTGGAAGCTCTGTAAATTCTGCAGTGCAAGGTCGGATTTTTATTTTCGGGAAATCTAAAGGGTGGACTCGAATGCAAGAAGAACCCCACAGATAGATGCGGAGTATACGGCTTGATCGCAGAAGGCATATTTAATTTTTTTAAAAATTATTTTAGAAATAAATAGAAATGAAAAGTAAAATTAATATTCGGTAAAAATCTGAATATAAAAAATTAAAAATAATGGTATGACTATATTACTTTATTAAATTATTAATTAAAATAAATTAAAAACATGTACTCCGTAATTTGATCGTAAAAATAAAAATTGTGATTTTAATTCTGAGATGAAAAAATATTTTTAGATTGTGTAAATACCTACACCCCAATGCAAAAGTAGAATAAGTATTTGAACTTTACTACTGTACTTTTCACTAATAATTCTATTAAAATGAAATATTTGAAATTTACTCTAGGCATGAGTCTTTTTGAGTATTTTTTCTTGTCTAACTTGATTTTATAAAAAAAAGTTGAGCAAATTCTTTTGAAAATGATAATTACAGTCTTTCGATAATTTTACTTTTCATTTTTTATTAAGTATTTGGTAAATAAAATATTCTTGTTATCTCTTGTTTTATAAAAATTTTCATGTACTCTCTACATCCCGAGTTAAGTTATATTTTATTATTCACATGATCAAAATTTAACAACTTTCATTATTTATTTTTTCTACTTTTTTAATAAAAAAATTATTATGTCACCTCATATTTTATAGAACTTTAGATGCAATTTTTAAATATATAAATTTATCTTTTTATATTCACACTAATTTTGATATAGAATGAAATAAAAATTAATTTCAGTCAAACATCATAAACCGAAACAAATAATTTAAATTCGAATAGATGGAATAGCTTTTAATTGTGTATGTTTTGTTTTTTTATTTTTATACTAATTTATAACAAAAATCACATTAAAATTACAAAATTTTACACGTTGTTCAAATAGAAAATATTATTTTAGGACGGATGAAGTATAACATGGACTTTATTGCATTGACATCTCCTCTCATTTGGTAAATGTGTATCATTATATCATCTATTTTTTAAAATTTCGCCCCCCCTCATAGTTACCAAAACATACACCAATACATTTTTTAGTAGGTTAAATATAATGTTCTAACAGATTGACTTAGTTATTCTGGGAAATGTTAAGTCAGGGCCGTCTCCGAGAAATTGGGGGGCTCTGTACGACATAAAGAAAAATGAGTCATTGTGCCATAATAAAAAAAATTCTCAATTATTGTATTTAACAAAATTAATATTATAATAATAAAAAATATAAACTGTCAAATTTATGGTCTTATGAAATTAAAATTGCTTATATTAATAGTTAGCTAAGGATTTTTGAAGTTTTTTCTTGCATTCTTGAGAGCATTATAGTAATAAAAATAGGGAGTAATAAAATGTCAAAGTCAAAATTTCAAATAATCAAATCCACACACAAAATTAGTAATCTTAAATAAAATTTATTATACATACAATCTAATTCATTTCAAAGTGAAAATCATAAATCAATATGAAATCAACTAATCTAATTTATGAAATTATAAAATTTGAAATTAAAGTAATTTTTGAAAGATATTTTTTTTTAAAAATTAAGCCTTCGAAATTGGACCTATTTTTGGGGTGTCATGGGCCAAAGCAAAAAGTCTAGAGAGAGTGAAGTGGCCTGTTAGTGTTCTTTTTTAGTTTTTATATAAACAAATATGTATTATGTATACACGCGTATTATGGAGTATATATAAAAATGGGGCCCACTCCAACATTGGGCCCTGTACATATGACCTTGCTGCCCATGGGTGTAGCCGGCCCTGTGTTAAGTAGATGACAAGTACTAAAAGGGTGTTATTATCTACGGAGTATCTAATTTCAAAAACACAAAACAACATTTTTATTCACACGTCAAACGTGTTTATTTGTTAGATACATTATTTAGGTATAGAACTTTATTAGACAAAATATACACTAGTGTAAGACTCTGAAACCAGAAGTAGGATCGAAGTACTTCATAAGTTTTTAAATAACAATGCACATTGAATAAAGTATAAATGTATCTCTGCAATACCCTTAAACTATCCACATTGTGAGGTGAGGTTTAAGGATTCTTTGACAATATAATAGTTGCAACGTCATCTTCTTGAAAGCCAAGTAAAATCTATATTGTAGAATGAATAATTAATTGTTATGGTTATCTTTAAAAAAAGAGAAATAAATAGTGTAATGAAAAACGGACTGGGTAATTCAAAGGAGATAAAACTTAAACTTTCATAAAAAAAGATGGCTTCACGCGTCTTTGTTGCCGTCATATTCACGCTACATTCCAACACTACAAGATCATGTCCATATGACACGCGCTAAGTTACCACTACTTTCCGCTCAATTCTTCTTACGATCTGAATATTGAGATCTCTTTCCCCCTGTCACTTTTCATTTCTCTTTGTACTTATATTATGTTTTATTTAATTTCAGAATTTCTAAACCCCCATTATGAGTAATCTTATAATGGAGTAATGTCAGTTCATTTATACTCTCTCCGTTCTCAAAAACACTTCCTCTTTCATTTTTTCCACTTCCAACAAAACACTTCCCCTTTCTATTAAAAAATTACTTTTATCCTTACTTTTTCTTACCCTATCTATCATATCATACTTTTTCTCTAATAATCTATCCATCACATCTTACTTTTACCCATCACATCAGGAGTAAAATTAAAAATCAACTATAATTTAACACTTTCTTGTTTTTGCCCCAAATCAAATGGGAAGGGTTTTTCGAAATGGAGGGAGTAGATTCTAGTCATTCTAGCATATCCTATTCAATTATCTTCATGTCATAAAGGGTGTATTTGGTTGGGTGGGTGGGCGGGGAAGAAAATGATGGAAGAAAATTGCAAGGGATATTAATATAATAATAACAAATATTATAGAGTATTATTACGTATTTGAATTAGTTATTGAGATTTCATTCAAATTTGGATTTACTCCTTATTAAAGTTTCTGTACACGGAGTAATATTTCTCCCGTTAAGGCATCGAACCCTCTTTCCAGCCTTTTACGCCACCGCTCATGTCGATGCACGGATCGGGTCGGGGGGTTCAAGCAGAACCGGATGAAACCGGCGAGCTCCGAGACGGCGATGAAACCGCTACGGGGGGAAACAACGAAGAGGAAGGAACGCGAGACCCCGCTACTCTTTCCGATAGCCCCGGCGACCATCTGGCCGTCCGTTCTCGTCCGTACCTCATGAAGATTCTCGAAAAGCAAGGTAATTTTTCTCAGAGCTTCTAATAGTTGAATGCTGACATTGTAAAGCAAACCGTGTTCTTAGATCAGAAGAAGCTTGTACAATTTTTTTTCCAGTTTTGTATTGGTTGGAAGGGTTGAACACAATTATTTTGATTAATTGCTAAGATCTCGAGTTGTGGATTGGAAGCAATGATTGATTAATGGACGCATATCGTCTTTGTGAGGAATCAACCGATCTCCAGCTGCAGGAAATGGGAATTAAATCAATAGGACATCATTCGAGTTAAATAGGACATCTTCGGCACTTCAAGAGCTCTGAAATTTGTTTGCAGATTCTTATCTTCCGGCATCATCCTAGGTTATAAGATTTTACAGTTGGTGTAATGGAGTGCTAGATTTTGACTGACCCCATTACACAGGTTTTAAAAGCTAGACATATGATTCGTAAAATTTCTTTTTGATTCACAAGACCCATGTTAGTTGAATGAATTTATAATTCATTAGGAACGAAGTAATTAAGAGCAATACTTTTATGGGAACATATCTCATTTTATGTTTTATATACCTTTGATGAAAAAATCTAATCAGTATTACGAATATGATTTTTTTTTTGCAGGGGACAGAAACCTGGTCTTTGCCGATAAGGTTCTGAAGTTCACAGTTTCAGGGAAGATGAAACGCCGAATTCTTCTAATCACTGATTTTGCAATATACTTTGTGGACCCAGAGACTGATATTCTCAAGAGGCGGGTAACCCTGGCAGCCGTAGAAAAGCTCTGCTTGAGCAAACTAAATGATCACTTCTTTGCAATTATTATCCCGACTGAGTATGATGTGCTTCTAGCAAGCACAAGAAAGACTGAAATTGTAACATGCATAGTGGATACTACCAAGAGTGCGTCTAACTATGAACTTGAGGTCGTTCACTCAAATAGGTAATAAATAAATAAATATTGTAGCGTGCTTATCGTGGTGATTTTAGTGCTCAATTTATTCTTCCTAATTTCATTTGTTTTATGAGTATTTTTGAGTTGCTTTTTTTTGTAGGTTTGAGTATAATGCAACTGCTGAGCAAGTCAAAGAAGTGACATTTGAGGAAATTGAAGGTTGGTGACACTTTTTATCAAGCAACACTTTCACAACAATTATATGTCTGATATTGTTTATAAATTATGAGGCTTTCTGTTTGTTTTTGGACCAGGTCGCATTAAAACACGAATAGTACAGAACGGGGCTCAGCATTGAACATGAGATTGCAATTACAAAAGGAATGTTTTCTTGGGATGCCCCATGGATCATAGAATGATACACCGTGTAAATGGAGATTGATTCTTTCATCAGTCGAGCTTATTCCCTGCTTCTTTCATGGTACTTGTATGGAATTTAGTACTTTAGAGCTTCTTGCCCATTGTGTTGATAATACTTGTGTATCTTTCAGCAATAACCCTATTACTCCACAAGATGACAAGAATAACACTTTTTTGTCGGTGTGGCCACAATATATAGATGCTTATGGTTTTCTTTTCAAGCATTATTTTGCAGCTTAAGTAATTCAACATTACCTTATTTCTATCATACGTAAGTATATTAAAACAAGTGGTGGGACTCACCATTTTCACTTTTCATCTCTACTTCTCTCTTTTTTTCATCTTGGAAAGACAGATTTCAATATAGAGGAGCCAAACGATACTTACAAAATATGGAGTAAAAAACACGCATCAGACATAGCATGATGAGAAACTCCGACCTTAAACATCGTGAACTAATTTCTCCAATATTTCTCTCCCTATCATTTTCTTCTTTACCTATTTCCCCCCAACCAAACAAAGCTTTTAAGAAAAATCTTAGAAAACATCTAAATTAGTGTAAATGCGAAGAAGTTCCTGTGTTAACCAAGGGAGTTGTCAAATTTGGTGTTGAACCTCCCCAGTGGATGGCTGATTTCTAATGCCCTCTACCATCTTCACTACATCTGCCATTTTCGGCCTCTGCTCTGGCATTCTTGCTGCACAGGCCATCCCTACCTGTAGCATCTCTACCATTTCTTCCTCTATGTTAGGATACTTCAAAAGCTCCACATCAAATACTTCACCACTCCATTCTTCACTAACAATAGAGCACACCCATCTCACCAAATCGTCAACCTCATCCTCACATGCCGAATGCAAAGGGGATTTCCCGGTGAGAAGTTCAAACAGAAGAACACCAAAGCTATAGACATCAGACGCCTGAGTCGTTTTCCACGTGTCCAAAAATTCTGGGGCCCGATATCCTGTGGTTCTTGCGAGGGTTGGAGCCACTGAACTTACCAGTGTTGCCAGGCCAAAGTCAGACACACAACCATATTGTCTGGAGTTCAGGAAAACGTTTGATGATTTGATGTTCCCATGGACAAGATTTGCTCCATGAATATAGGCGATACCTCTCGCTGCGCCGATAGCAATTCTGACTCGTGTTTCCCAATCTAATGGGAACTGGTTTTCGCCCCTGTTAGCTGCAGTTTATATAGGTAATCTTACTATGTGAGAAAAAGATCCATATGAACTCTACTACAATGTGACCATTCTATCATACTGGATGTTGAATATGGCACAGGTACTAAACATACCATGTAGCATTGCAGAGACACTCCCCTGGCTGTAGTAATCTTGGACCGTGAGCTTTTCGTCCTCAGAGTAGTAGTATGCCTTCAAAGGAGCCACATTCTCATGCCGGATGCTTCCAGAAACTTCCATCTGCAGGTGGAATTCCTCTCTCCCGACGCAAACATCATTCAGTCTTTTCACTTCAACTGTGGCTGCGCTGCCCTCTAGAGCTGCCTTATATGTAGTCCCTGACGTTCCCTTGCCAAGAACCTCTGCAGAAGCTCTCAACAAGCCTTCCATGTCAAATCCAAGATCACAGCCTCCAATGGATACAAGGTAGTGGTCGCTGTTTCGGTTATGGCCTTTCTCGTCTTTTTTCTTCGAATGACAGCAGAAAATCCATGGCAGAACTATGAATGCTGCCAGAACCCCCAATGCACAACTTCCAACCACAATTCCCAACACAACTTCTTTCGTGGGGTTGTTTTCCGGTGAAGAGGCCACGGGATTCGAAGGTGAAGATATATGGGGAGAAAGATGTTTATTGTCTGTAGCAGCTCTCCCCGAGCAGAGAATAGCTGCAGAACACAAAACTGCCGGCAATGTGTCTCTTTGTCTCTTCATCGTCTCTGCACGAGTAGATACAACTACTGCAGTGTTTTACTGTTCTTATAACACTGTTACAGATTGCTTGAAGAAGAAGAAGAAATGATCAGAGGTGGCATGGCTGTATTAAATAAATTGGTTCTTGGAAGTGCTTTGAAGAAGAAAGCAAAGTGAAAAAGAGCAAGATGATGCACGTTCAGACATTGCTGAACTGCTACGAAGAGGAAAAGGAAGAAGCAACCATAATCATTGCTACTTTTGCCTTTTTTTACCGTTTAGAATAGTAAATTAAGCAAGAAACAATTTTTTCTTCCCTACGGGTAGCTCCAAGGAGAGAATGTCAAACCCATTAATCCTAGAAAGGACTTCCGGCAGCTGCAGGAAGTTTTATTATTTGTAATTGCTCCTTGTGCGCATTGGGTATGGGACGGTCTATCTAAAGACCAGATTGAGATTATATCATGATTTATTCCCTCACAATCCTATCGGGCCAGGGTATGGGGCGCCCTTGGTGGGACTTTCAATTTCTACTTCTGAGCAAGAGTAAGGTTAGCATTGACATTTTCAAAGTTAATCTAAATTATTTAAAAATTATTCAAAATGGTAACCTTAGTTGAATATATTGTTCCCAAAAGAGATGTATAGTATAAAAAGATCTCTAAACTTTACATTTGAACCTAATTGTGTTATGATGACTTGTTCTAACCTTTTGTGGCTTGATGTCTTCTTGATTACATTATTTTTTTCAGGAGTATGTTATTTTACAACACCTTGGTTCCCATGACATTGGTTCCCAATGTCATGACCCGGGGTCACTCCGGTGCCCCGTTCGTAAAATTGACGGTTCCTACCCTCCTTAACCCCCCCACCCCGCCCCGACCCGAACGCACCCCCCACCCCCTACAATTACACCCCACAAGTTGATTTTGACTTTGGAGTCAAAATTTGACTCCAAAGTCAAAATCAACTTGTGGGGTGCAATTGAAGGGGGTGGGGGGGTGCGTTCGGGTCGGGACGGGGTGGGGGGGGTTTACTGGGGGGGGGGGTTAAGGGGGTAGGAACCGTCAATTTTACGAACGGGGCACCGAAGCGCCCCCGGGTCATCCCATGATATTGGTTCCCAATGTCATGGGAACCTTAGCCATTTTACAAAACCTTCAAAAATCTTTAAAACAAAGGTTCATTTGTTGTCTAAAGTACTAACATGTAAATTCTTTTATGCACCTAAACGGAGTACGAGTAAGTAATACGGAGTAATTTATAATAGAGATGCACATTTGTTTTTTATTAATTTGTTTGTGTGTGAAGTTTATGATGAATATTAAGTATATGATAGAAACACCTGTCTTAATAATATATCAACAACAATACTTTTTTTTCCTTCTCTAATGCTATCAGTAGTGCTTAGCCACCATTCACTCCAAAACAACAGTCACTCAACGCATCATCAATGCTGACTGCTAAGTGTATTCATCAACCTACTCACTTCATACCTGTAGTGTTTCACATCTACTGCAATGATTATACTATTATTTTTTATTTAACATTTACCTATTTCTATTCAAAATAAATTCTATCTTTTACACAATAATAAAAATTATTTTATAATGTTTTTTATTTTAATTATTTATTTCAGGTTTTTAATTTTTTTCATTCGGGATTATTAATTTTTACTTTCCAATTTTTTTTAATATTTTAACAATTAAATTTAAAAAGCATAAACTACATTCATTACAAAAAAGGCACACAATTACATTACTTAAACTAAGAAAAATACCCTACATGATAACAAAAAAGGAAAAAAAGATGATGACATAATTTAATATTAAAACGTGTATCGTTCCAAAAATATAAAAATAAAACATACATCGTTCACTTCAAAAATGTTTGATGAAAAAAATATAAGCCAGACATAATTATTTATCAAGTTCTGATTTACGTACAAAAAGTTATGAATAAAATAGTCATTATTGTATCTCAAATAATTATTTGGCTACTCCATTTTACCGTATATGGAGTACTTTGTATGGTATTATTCATTTTTTAATTTTTTATCAATATTGCTGATATTTAATTTATTACTACTATTATCATTATTTTTTAAAGTTATTACTACTTTTATCCTTGAGTATTTGTCTAGTTTTGATTTTATTAAATTAACTATTTTCAACTTTTGACATATAGTTAAATAAAATATATAGTGTATATTAATTAAACAAAATAATATTTTGTAAATATCTTATATAATAAATCTAATAAAATTATTTTTGTACCAATATCTAATATGATTTTTATTTAATTTAGAGTCAAAATTTATCAATTTTGACTGTAAAAAGTCAAAGGTGGACAAATACTATGGGACGGAAGGAGTAATAGTATGAGATTGTATGAATTGAAAAAAAATTATTTTAAAAATTTGAACTCGTTATGTTTTATTATTTATGTTTTTGATCTTTTTAAATTCGAAATCAATATTTCTATTTAACAAAGTTATGCTTTTGTATATAAATTATGTTTTTATTTTAATATTCTTGAGTGATGCATGTCTATTGTTTTGGCACGGTTTAAGCATTGGAATGATATTGTACCATTCCGTTTCAAAATGGAATAGTTCGAAATGGTTGTAGGGTTCATATCGTGCCGATACCAAACCATTTAAATAATAACAGTCCGTGATAGATTCCGGTGGCATCACGAATCGCGCCCTCCCCTAACATAATCGGTTATTATCCAACACTTCTTGATAATAAGGGCATATATGACAGATCATATGTAATTATGTATCATAAAGAGAATAAAATTAAACATATTTGATCCTATTCAGAGGAACATACTATCTTTTAATCTCAAATGGAGCAAATTTTTCATATATGTTTGGGGATTGTCTTATATTCATTCCTTCTTGGGTCAGTAATATAACAAAATATTTAGTGACGGAAACAATGTCCGGCGATGTTGGACACTTAGTTTGAAGAATGTCCAGTGGTGGTGCAATTGAAGAATGGCGAACATTTACTTGAATAATGCAAAACAATGTCCATTCTTCACCAATTGAAGAATGACGAACATTTACTTGAATAATGACTATAAGATAATGACTAAAAGTACTATATTGGAAGAAAAACATATATGTTGCTATTGAAGGAAAGTTATTATTTTTTAGTGCTATTTAGTAAATGTCAATTGTCTTATTGTATGTATTCATTACTTCTTGGGTTAGTAATATAACCAAATCTTTATCAGTAATATATTCGAGGCTTCATATAATCTACCGAATATACTACGGAGTATATAACTTTGGGGATTGGTCTTACATTCATTTCTTCTTGGGGAGTATTCGGGTGATTATTGCCATTTTAAATTACAAACTTGTTATCTTCACCTAACACATCCTATGCGCATAACCCCTAACCAATTCAACCTTCTTCATCTGATCTATATATACACACATATCTATTCCCATTGTTCATCCATCCACTTCAAACAATTAAAAAAAGTTACATTTTGAGTTAAAGGAGTGAATTGAAAAGAAGAGAAAGATATATGTATTCCATGAAAGGAACGGAGCAAAACAACGGCGGCGGCCACCACCACGACGGCCGCCTACGTGTGGTGATGTTTCCATGGCTAGGCTTTGGTCATGTCTCACCTTTCTTGGAATTGGGCAAGAAGTTGAGCTTGAGAAATTTCGAAATTTACATATGTTCCACCCCTGCAACCCTTGAGCCGGTGAAGAAGAAGCTTGCTGCCGCCACCGCTGGGGACGCCGCCTCCGTGAGCTTTCTCGAGCTCACGCTCCCGTCGTCTCCCGAGCTTCCGCCGCAAAACCACACCACCAACGGCCTTCCCCCGCACCTCATGCCCCATCTCAAGGAGGCGTTCGAAGCCTCGCGTCCCGCATTTGCGCAGCTCCTCCGCGATATCAAACCCGACCTCCTCATCTACGATTTCCTCCCGCCGTGGGCCCCACAGGAGGCGGAGGGGCTCGGTATCCCCGCGATCCAATTCATCACCATGAGCTCCACTTTCACTTGCTTCAAGTTCCAACAGTTCAATCAGCCGGGCGTCGAGTTCCCGTTCCCCACCATCCGGTACCGAGACTATGAGCTCGCTAGGATGGCCAAGGCGAACGCGTCGACCCCTCGGGAGAGACGCGAGAAAGACGAGAGGAGTGTGCGCGACTGCTTTTCGCGCTCTTGCGGTCTCGTCTTGATCAAGACCTATGATGAGATCGAAGGTCAATACAGTAATTTCCTCACCACTTTGACCGGAAAGAGGATTGTCCCGGTTGGGGCATTGGTTCAAGAACCTAGTAAAGAGGACGGGGAATCTGAGGCGATTGAGTGGCTCAATGGGAAAGAAGAGAAGTCCACGGTATTCGTTTCCTTCGGAAGCGAGTACTTCTTGACCGAAGAAGACTTGACAGAGATCGCTCATGGTTTGTTCCTTAGCAACCTGAATTTCCTCTGGGTTTTAAGGTTTCCCAAAGGAGGAAACCGTGACAATCTCAAACATGTCTTCCGGTTCTTAGAAAGGGTCGGGGATAGGGGTTTGGTCGTCGATGGTTGGGCCCCACAAGCAAAGATCTTGGAGCACCCGAGCATCGGAGGGTTTGTGAGCCACTGCGGGTGGAGCTCGGTCATGGAGGGCATGAAATACGGGGTCCCGATCATTGCCATGCCCATGCACATCGACCAGCCCGTGAATACCAAGCTGGCAGCAGAGGTAGGGGTGGCGATGGAAGTTGTCAGGGACAACAGTGGAAAGCACCACCGCCGTAAAATAGCGGCGGTGATCGAAATGGTGGTTCAGGGGGAGGGTGGAAAAGGCGTGAGGGCAAAAGCGGCGGCAATGCGTGAGATGCTGGCGGAGAAAGGCGACAAAGAGATCGATAAGGTGGCTGAGGAGTTGAGGAAGCTTTGTGCCAAGAACCTTTGCAGAAGGTCTCAAAAAGTCTTACATATCAAATCCAAGATCACAGCCGCCACCAATGGATACAAGGTGGTGCTCGCTGTTTTGGTCATGGCTTTTCTCATCTTTTTTCTTCGAAAGACTGTAGAAAATCCATGGCAGAACTAAAACTAGCTGCTGCCAGAACCCTATATGTGTAACTTCCAACGACAATTCCCAACAAAACATCTTTTGTGGCACTCTCATGACGGATCATAGACACGCCTCCGTGAGGCGTTACGCACAGCCAAACGTAGATGCTATACTTGCTGGCCGGGTGGAAATTCAATATTATGTATACTATGTTTACGTTTAAAAATGTAAGATTATATGTTTAATATATGAAATATTTACACTAAATAGTATTAAAATTTAAGTCATTTTTCTAAATAGCACTTAAATTGTTTTATTTTCTTAATTTAGTACGGAGTACTTAATTAATAATGTCCATAATGTCTAGTGATGGCGAACATTTATTTGAAAAATGACTCATGGATAATGACTAAAAGTGCTACATTGGAAAAAAAACACATGTGATGTTATTTAGGGAAAGTCATTATGTTTTAGTGTTATATAAGTAAATTGCCTTTAATATATTTTTAAGAGAGAAATAATACGAAAATATTACCATATCTTATAAAATTATGAAAGCAATAATTGTGGGTAGGCGTTGCGCAGTTGGTAAGACAAAGAGTGTCAAGAGAGTAAGATCCGAGTTTGATTCTTGGAAAGAGATGCAACTATACTAAACATATTGTCTGTGCAAGTACCAGTTACAGGTTCTACTTCTTGGCACTAATCTGCGATCAAATAAAGTTCAATTTACCTCCTTCGAGGGGCCTTCGGGAATGGAGTTCCTCTTTTTTAATGAAACACACAATTAACTTTTTTTGAAGCAAAATGAAACATATATTAATAAATGTTCCCTTACATATAGTCATTCTATTTTGAGACGTCAAAAAAAGGAAATGAAAACTTTAATCTCAGTGGGTGAGGTATTAGGAACAAATAAAGAAATATCAATAGGATAAAGCTATTTGTACCCCAAGGATTTTGTACCTCATTTGTACACCGCAGATGTGCACTAACATTTTGTGTTGGTGTAATGCTAATTTTTATTAACGCATCAACACTTTGTGTCAGTATAAATTTTTGTTAATGCACTAACACTTTGTGTCAGTGTGAACCATCAAAATGTTAGTGTATAACTTTAGTATAAGATTGAGGTACAAATTTTGGTGTAACTATAGAATGAGTTTCGCTAAACACGAGTTAAAGGTAAGTAATCTACGGAATATATGTTTTTAAAAAGAAAAAATACCGAATATATAACTTTGGGGATTGTCTTATATTCTTTCCTTCTTGGGTCAAAAATGGAAGTTTCGGTTAAATCTAACAAATTCTTTATCGGTAATACTCCCTCCGTCCCACTGTCTTTGTCCACTTACCTTTTGGCACACCATCCAATGCACTTCTTTAATCCATTTTATCTTGTAATTTGCATATTAAAAAATTATAGAAATTATATATTAATAATATACGGAGTATATGTTAAGACGAATCAAACAAGATCACACATGACAATTTTTAGGCTTACACATTGAGATAATTTGATGAGTAAAAGTGCTTAGATGAACAGTTCCAAAAGTTAAATATGGACAAAGACAGTGGAACGGAGGTAGTATATTCGAGGCTTTCCTTCTTGATAAATGTCGTTTTTCTGCACCATATTTGTCACCATATTTGTCACGACATAAATTAACGGATATAAAACTAACTAAAATAGGAAATATAATGAGACAAACACAAAGTAAAACAATATACTCGATCTATATATTGCAAAAATCTTCCCAATAATATATTATCCAAAATGTTATGAGAAATGTTAGAGTCACAAACATTTCGGCCACAAAATACACAAACTTACCATTTGTGCATTTTAATGTTTACTTTTTAATTATTCAACATCATTTTATTCATTTAGTGAGGTGCACAAATCACAAATGGCAAGTAGTCACAAATTTTACAAATGTGTCTTTTTTGAATTTTAAATTTAAATATTTTTTATTATTTGGGCGCATCTTGTTCCTAGTAAAATGTTAAAAAGGAAAATTTTATGAATTTTGTAAAATATTTGTTTGTGACTCTAGCATTAAAGATATATTATTGTATAAATCACCCTAAATAGGAATAAAACATAGAGAAATGTATCAAAACAAGATTTTTATGTTTTTCCCCCCGAAATAGGATTTTGCACTGTCGTAATGTGATACGGTACATGTGCATATTACAATATTTTTTAGTAATGCACATGACCATATTTGGCAATGTAAATGCATTTTAAGTCGTATATCGGGAATAAAAATATAGAAGTCTTATTTTGGTATATTTTCAATGTTTTACTCATACTTTGGTCTTTCTCCCTATATTATTAGATATTGAATTGAAGTAAAATACGGAGTATATGATATACTTCATCCGTCTCAAAAACTCTTTCCCTTTTCTTTTTTTCTTGTCCCCCAAAATGCTTCCCTTTTTATTAAAAAATCACTTTTATTCCTAACCTACCTATCATATCATACTCCGTACTTTTTTTACTAATATCTAGGATATTTTTGAAAAGTCAACACAAAAATATCTCTAACTTAAATTTCCTAAAAGTCAAAGTTGGAGCATCTTTATATGACGGAAAAAGTAGGGAGAAATACCGTCATTATTTATAGATGCACATTTGTTTTTTTAATTAATTTGCTTGTGTATGAAGTTCGAGATGAATTTTATAAAACACTCGTCTTAATAATGTAACAACAAAATAAATAGAAATAAGCATTTCGAGTAAAAAAAGATATATGCAGTTAGGGCAGTGGGTATACCCGTAACGCCGACCGGCGTTATGCCGGTTTTCACGCCCCGGGGGCGTTAAACACCGCCCCCCGGCGGCGTTACCCGGGCGTTACTTGGCGTGCGTCAAACGAATGACGCACCGTCATTCATCTCCCCCTCCCCCCTAACGGCTCTTTGAGCTGTTGCACCCCCCAATTCAAAATTTTTTATTATTATAAATTCAAACCTCCCCTTCCCAATATCTCACACCATCACCATCTTCAATCTCTTATTCCCAATTTTTAAATTTCAAAATTCAAACCCCCCTCCCAATTTTCAACATGAATCCTTCCGGCTCCGGCTTCTTTCCCGACGATCTCCCGCCGAGCGACGCCGCGATGTGGTTCTACGAACAGTGGGGTGATCGACCGCCGATCTACGAGACGTAACAATCGGGGTACGTCGACCGAGATTCGGTTCCAGAGACTCAACCAGAACCATCCGGGTCGAAAAAAAGTACACGCCGGAAAAGCCACAAAGCCAAAAGCACGATGACCGAGGCGGCACGGTCAATCCAAAAGTGGACGCCGGAGGAGGAGTGCATATTGGCGTCGGCTTGGGTTGATGTCTCCGAGCATCCTATCATTGGTAAAAAACTAATTTTTCTAATATATTTATGTTTTTATTTATATATATTATATTTAATGGTGTCTAAAAAAATTGTGTAATACATTTTTAAAGGTTCGGAGCAAACGAAGGATGCGATGTGAGATCGTATCGAGGAGAAGTTCTTCACGGAGATGAACAAGGACGGATACTACCGAACCCGGGACCAACTCACTTCCAAATGGAGCCACATCAACCGTAAAGTCCGAAAGTTTATCGAAGTTTACGAGGAATGCTCCCGGTCCCGGAAGAGCGGTACGAACGACGCCGATGTTCTCCGGCTTGCCACGACCCGGTATCAAGACGACGTGCACCAAGGTAAGGTGCCCATCGATCTTTGGAAGATTTTGAGTCGTTCCCCGTAATGGCAACAACTCGACAATCCCGACGGAGGATCGTTCCGGAAAAGATCCACCGTCGATGCCGAGGTTGAGGTCGACGAGACTATCGGTTCTACCGATCAAATACCTCCCTTCAACGTTGCGGATTCCGATGACGAGGACCCCATTCCACGGCCGATCGGAAGAAAGAAGGCAAAATTCATTGCCTCTGGTTCGGGAGGGTCCGCCTCTGTTTCCGCTTCTCCCCGCGACGAAATCGGTCGGGCAATGATTGAACAACTTCGGGCGTTCAATCTCTAAGAACAAGAGAGGTTGAAGCTAAAGGAGCAGGAGGCCGAGATGAAAGTCATGCAAACCGATCCCGCGACGTTGTCGGAGTTTGGACGAATGATTTACGAGCAAAGAATTAGAGAGATCAAGAAGAAATATAATTTACATTAGTCTTTTTTATTAATGTATATTTTTTTAAATTATTGTCGCTTTTTTTATTTAATTAATGTATTTTTTTAATATTCATGTTTCAATTTAATTAAATAATAAATTAATTACATTTTATTAATTTAATTTTAGAAGATGTATATTTAAAAATGTAAAAAATGAAGGTTTGAAGCCCCAGTTTGAAGTCCCGGGGCTTCAAAACCATTTCCAGTGAATTTTGGGTGTAAGTTAAAGCTGACGTGGCAGAGAGAGAAGGTTTGAAGCTCCGGGGCTTCATGACCATTACCAGTGCTCTTAGTAGGAAAAATGATATTTGCATTTCATTTTTTCGCTAATGACACTCCAAAATATACTCCATACTATTTACCCTCTCACAATCACATTAAGAGTGTACTCCCTCCATTCTTTTTTAATCGTCGAGTTCATTTTTCAAGTCTAATGTTTAACCAATATCTAGTATCTTTCAAAATATATTATTAAAAATTTATTAAAAAATAGACCAAAAGTATTTTTCGATATCAACAATTTAGTATAACTTTTATGTTTTAATTTATTGTATATTTTATATATAATTAGTCAAACGTTTGGCACACGTACAAAGTGAATTGAATACTTAAAAAGGAATGTATGGAGTATTGTGGAGTGCTCATTGTAAAAATAGAGTACAAATATCATTTCCCATTTAATAAGTGATTATTTTGTTTAATATATGGATGAATTCGACAATATATGTGACTGTAATTTTTTTCCTTCTCTAACATTGATGCTACTCCTTAGATGGAAATTCAATCTTGTGTATTTTTTTTGAAGGCAATCAAATCAATCTTGTGTATAGTATAGAGTATTTAAGTTCAAAAAAGTGAGATTATATGATCAAATTTTTTTTTAGAGAAATAGTATGAAACATATCATAGAGTATATCTTTTAAAAATATGAAACATATAATTGTTTCCTCAAAAATGATCATTTTATTTTGAGACGTCCAAAAAAGAAATGAAAAATTTAATTCGAGGTGAGATAAAATATAATCAATAATTATAGAATGAGTTTCGCCAAACACAAGTTAAGGTAATTAATCCATATCTTTGGTGATTGTCTTATATTCATTCCTTTTTAGGTCTACAATGGAAAGGTCGGTTAAATCTAACAAAATCTTTTTCAGTAATATTTGAGGCTTTTGTCCACATCATATAATGTGCCCCTTTACTTTTTTAATTTTGTAAATTTTTGTCTTCCAATTAATCGTGATTATTACCATTTTAAATTACAAACTACTTATCTTCAACTATAAGACTTGGGACTTTCGAAAGTTTGACACCAAATTTGGGAAGATTCGATAATTGTCAATTTTCTGCCCCATAAACATTAGTACATTTCATATTTAATTTCTCGGGATATGGATATAAAACTTAAATAGGAAACATAATGAGATAAAAAGAAAGTTAAAAAATATAACTCCATTTATATATTGCATAAATCTTCCGAATAATATATTATTGGATTCCATTGAAGTGAAAGATTACCATATATGTTCCATAATATTTACTTCTCCCTAATTACTTATCATGCATGCCCAAAATCCCTAATCAACCTTCTTCATCTATATATAAACACATATCTTTTACCATTGTTCATCCACTTCAAACAATAAAAAAAAGTTACATTTTGAGCTAAAGGAGTGAATTGGAAGGAAGAGAGAAATATATGTATTCCATGAAAGGAACGGAGCAAAACAACGGCGGCGGCCACCACCACGATGGCCGCCTTCGTGTGGTGATGTTCCCATGGCTAGGCTATGGCCATGTCTCACCTTTCTTGGAATTGGGCAAGAAGTTGAGCTTGAGAAATTTTGAGATTTACATATGTTCTACACCTACAACCCTTGAGCCGGTGAAGAAGAAGCTTGCCGCCACGACCGGTGCCGACGCCTCCGTGAGCTTTCTCGAGCTCACGCTCCCTTCGTCTCCCGAACTTCCGCCGCATTACCACACGACCAACGGCCTCCCCCCGCACCTCATGCCCCTTCTCAAGGAGGCATTTGACGCATCGCGTCCCGCCTTTGCGCAGCTCCTCCGCGACATCAAACCCGACCTCCTCGTCTATGATTTCCTCCAGCCGTGGGCCCCACAAGAGGCGGCAGAGCTTGACATCCCCGCGGTCGAGTTCATCAGCAGCAGCTCCACCATGAATTGCTTCATGGTCCAACAGTTCAAGCAGCCGGGCGTCAAGTTCCCGTTCCCCGCCATCCGGTACCGAGACTACGAGCTCGCTAAGATTGCCAAGGAGAACGCATTGACCCCTTCGGAGAGACGCGAGAAAGACAAGAGCCGCGTGCGCGATTGCTTTGCACGCTCTTGCGGTCTTGTCTTGATCAAGACCTTCGATGAGATCGAAGGTCAGTACAGTAATTGCATCACCACTTTGACCGGGAAGAGAATTGTCCCGGTTGGGGCATTGGTTCAAGAACCTAGTAAAGAGGACGGGGAATCTGAGGCGATCGAGTGGCTCAATGGGAAAGAAGAGAAATCCACCGTGTTCGTTTCCTTTGGAAGTGAGTACTTCTTGACCAAAGAAGATATGACTGAGATTGCTCATGGTTTGTACCTTAGCAACCTGAATTTCTTCTGGGTTTTAAGGTTTCCAAAAGGAGAAGACCATGACGATCTCAAACAAGTTTTGCCGGAAGGGTTTCTAGAAATGGTCGGGGATAGGGGTTTGGTTGTCAAGGGTTGGGCCCCACAAGCAAAGATCTTGGAGCACCCGAGCATAGGAGGGTTTGTCAGCCATTGCGGGTGGAGCTCGGTCATGGAGGGCATGAAATATGGCGTCCCTATCATTGCCATGCCCATGCACATCGACCAGCCCGTGAACGCCAAGCTGGCAGCTGAGGTGGGGGTGGCGATGGAAGTTGTCAGGGACAGCAATGGAAAGCACTGCCGCGATAAAATAGCAGCGGTGATCAAAGTGGTGGTTCGGGAGGAGGCTGGAGAAGGTGTGAGGTCGAAAGCTGTGGCAATGCGTGAGATGCTGGCCGAGAAAGGTGATAAAGAGATCGATAGGGTGGCTGAGGAGTTGAGGAAGCTTTGTGCCAAGAAAGAGCATGACTTCACTCCCATCTTCTAGTCTGGTTTATGATATATATTATATTAGTTCATTTCTTTATAGTATGACTTGAGTTTTTATTTAAGTTTAGCTAAGTTTGAGGTTTAAAGCATATCCTTCCCAGCTACAAAAATGGTGGGTAGGGAGTATGCGGCTACATATATTATATATGGCCGCTCACTGCTGCGTTTCTTTATAATATACGCAGACAAAGTGTAGTAGGCAATGTTTTTAATTAAATTAATAATTATAATGATAGCAGTTTAATTGGAATTACTACTGAAGGTGTCTTTTTTTTTTCTCTGGCATTATGCAAATGGGAGAAAAGTAATGATCTTTGCAATCAGACAGAGGAATGTATTAAAACCCATGGCATTTCTTGAATTCTTTTTTCTAGGGAATTATGATTTTTAGCTTATATTTTGTGCAAATTTAGCAGGCCAAACGGAGAGAAGAAACCAAAGCCATTTGTAAGTCTCAAGATGAAAATGTGAATCACATATTTGCGCATAGATACGATGGATTTTCAATTGAAACTGCATCCGTGTTTTTGATGGGAAATCTGCAGAAGAAAAAGAAAAGAGATCGTTCTAATTCATCATGCCTGTCATATATCTTCATTTGCTCATCTCTCTGAGGCTTGCTTCTGGTTGTCTCTTGTCAATTATGGACCCCCAAGAATGGCATTTTCAATGTCTTCCCTGCTGAGGGCATAACTGAATCTTCTCTCCACATCTTTCTCCATCCCTCCAGGTCCACTCTTTAGGTACCTGCACTTTTACCAGTTCCAGGTAAAACCCACAATGAAGGCCAAAGCACTTTTACCAGTTCCAGGTAAACCCGTGATCAAAACCATGAAGACACTACCTAATGACAATCTTTAGCTTGATCGTTTTTAAAGTTAATTTGTACCATTCAAAAATGAACTGAAAAAGCTAAAACTAGTTGAAACAATGTTTCCAAAGAAGGCCTAAATGTTGCAGAGTAATGTTCTGAAAAATGCAAATCATATAACAGTTAAACACCAGATTTTACACTTTATTTTTTCTTCAGTTAGTTGGGAGTATCAATCAAGATTCAAGCCCAAATCATGTCTGCCATTAAATATGAAGATTGTTTTTGAAAAAAACCCATAAAAATGTCAACTTTATCAGAGAAGAAGACTAAATGGGTAGACTGAGAAACCTTATGTACAGGTCAGTGACGTCAAGAGACAATCGAGCATGCCAATCTGGATTTTCCACAAACCAGACGGCTCTGTCTTCTTTGCTCTGGTAAAACCCTAAACTCATTAGCCAGGCTTCTATGCAAGGCAAGCTGTGAGCGTACAGAGCCTTATTCCTGTCGGGCAGCCTCTGCAGCCACCCTTCCGCCGCCGCGCCGCCGGCCTCGGGGGAGGATTTGGAACACGGAAGTGGCTTTCTCGGCGATGTGAGAGGACGGGGTCGTGGTGGGAATTTAGTGATAATTGAAGGGCCTCCGGTGGAAATCCTTGCAAAGGAAGACGGATTTGGAGAACTTATTGAAGGAAGGATCGACGCGTAAAGGGCCGACATTTTATCCGGCAGCCGGGAATCCCTCCGGAAGGAGGCGAAAGGTATGAAGAGGGGGCTCTACGGCGTCGTTTTCTAAAATTGGTTCTTCTCCTGCTCTTCCGTTTCACGTTCTAAAAAAAATGAGACGCCAAAAATACCACACACTAGTGACACTATATCTCCGCTACACAATTTCAATTTGAAGTAGACTCTGTTATATACCCACCACCCTTGCTACCAACGTTGTTTCCGTTCACTTCTCCATCACATATTTATTTCTACACATTCTCCACCTACCCTCTAATTTACCGAGTAATTTTCTTGCCTCCCTACCACATGTTTATGTAGGGGGCATGATTGGTAACAAAGGTGGGGTTTTTAGCATTTTCCTTTGATGTATGGAAAAATTTTAAAAATAAATAAAAATTTAATGGTTTGATGGATGGTGTACCAATGCAGTATGACTCTAGCATGATTTTTCTTAAAAATAGGACGGTTTGGGAATAATAAAGCGCTAGAAAAAATAGATAATTGTGTCATGCCGGAGTAAATGATAATAAGAAAAATTTATTTGTACCCACATCGACTTCATTTTATGCCTTGAGAATTTGTCTTAATACGAAATGTAAATACAACACTAACATGTCAATATTGTACTTGTATTTCGTGCCAGGACAAATCTTTGGAGTACTTAGAACAAGTGAACAACCCTAAATGATAACACTCTAAGAAATCATATACTCCGTATTGTTACTCCATCCATCTCGTAATTATCGTCCGGATTTGACTTGACATGATTTTTATTAGATTAAAATGTTAGCACTTGTGGTTTGTGTATAGAAAAAAATTAAAATGGGCCACATATTTATTTTCTTAAAAATAAAGAGGAAGAAAACTTTAGGACAACTCAAATAAAAAAACAAAGATAATTATGAGACGAAAGGATCGGAGTATTTCTTAATGATATTACCTGATTAATGTTTATATAATTATATTTATTAAATTTTTTTAAGATACTTTATTTATATTTCACTTTTCGATTTTATTCTTTTAAATATTTCAGTTTAAAATTCTATTCTTTTACGGAGTAACATTTAATTATAATATTGTTTAAAAGGGGAAAGCCTATAAAATGAATATTGTATAATTTTTTAAACAACATTTACATTAGTTTGTATATTTTAAATTTAATTTATATTCTTAGTTTATGTAAATTATTTAAGGGGAAAGCCTATAAAAAGTACGTAAATGCGTAATATATTAGTGCTAAAAAGTAATACGTTATTAAAAGGGGAAAAAAGTTATAAATGGAAAAAATAATGCTTCTTTGGAATAAAACCACTAACATAAATATAAAACTAATAAAATTTATTAAGCGAAGTACGTGCATTACTAATTATTTCAAAAAAATGAATGTTTTAAAATCAATTTTTATGCAAAAATATAATTCTAAATCCAAAAATATGAAGTGTTCCATACCCTTTGTTGTCAGATATTTGAAATTAACATATAAAAATTAGAATATAATATCTGAACAAAAAATCTGTTTAATGAAATATTTTTAATAGTTTTTTACTAATGTATTTTAAAAAAACTTATTGGTCAAACATATTACTCGAATCAGAGTGTTAAAAATGGGATTACTAATTCTTAAGATTAACAACATGAAACTCACAATAAAACTATTAATTTAGTCACCATGTTAAATCAATAAAAAATAAAATAAACTAATGCCAAATCACTATTTCGTATATAATTAAAATTGTCAACTCATTAAAATAATAAATAGGTGGCTGATGACTTGTTAAAAAACCCAAGTAGACCCCCACATGTCAAAATTCTTTGAGCCGAGTCTCAAATATTATAGTAAAAGATTCGAGCATGTGAAATTCCATAATTTCAAATTCAAACAATTATTTAAGAAGTCATAGGATTTCAATTTTAGAATTTGAATTTGGAAGTCAGCAAAGACGATCACTCTTTAGTTAAAATTTTTAAATTAAAGAAGAATTGAGCATGAATTTGTAAATGAAATGGGGATAGATATTTTAAACTTAATTCTTTGACTTCTCAAACAAGTACTTTGTAATTTGGATCAAATCTGAATTTAAAATTCAAATTCAAGTTTCCAAACACATGCAGAATTAAGATTTTAAATATGTTATACTCGTACGCAAGTGGGGTGAGATTTCACAAAATTAGGTTTATTAATACGGAGTATTTAATTATTTACCAAGTTAAGAAGTGCATGGGAAATTACAGGCAAGATCAATTTAATTTTGGCATGAACCAAAGAAAATGTAAAAAAAAATAATTTTAATTGGAAAGAGGAGGAAAATTACTTCCCTTGTATGATGATAAAATTATAATGTATGGTAATCACAAATCACTCCATTGATTACTACCGGAATAAAATTTACTTTGTGATTTTAATACGAGTAATAATTTAAACATGTAAAAATATACGGTGAATCTTCTATATTTTCAAAAAATCAACCTTCATCATCATCAATTTTTAGAACTTTTCAAATAATTTCCGAAAGAATACACGAAGTACTTTGTAATATACTTTTATAAATCTACAAAGTATTATTAGACATAGTTCTTTTCAGTTTGATTTTTAAAATAAGATGTTAGAAAACATTGAAAGACGTTAGAGAAATTGGAGGAATAGTGGTGTTAAAACTCATTAAATGTGAAAAAATAATTAGTTCATTTTGGAAATAAAAACACATTAAATATGATAAAATAATTTTAAATTTTATAGGATGAAAATCTAATAAATAATAAGCTATAAGTATAATTTAATAAATTTAAAAGTAAATATTTCAGATTGTTTGAAATTATTTAAAAGAATAAGTTTTAAATTCATTTGAATTGGTAAATTTGTAAGTTTAAACATGGTTTCGACGCTGTTTTTATTGTCGTTAGCCGGGGAGACTAAACCGTCGTGCATTGTTTTTTATTAACATGTACTATCTTAAAACGGCATAGAAATAAAGACTATGGAAATATACATATATGCAAATAATGCCATATTTAAATAGCTTGTTTTAATTGCTCGTGCTTTCCAAATTTAAAGTATTATTATATGGTTCCTTCACATCCCACACAATATATATATATATATATACACACACACGGGTGGCCTATAGGAATAATATTGATTTTATAATTTGTAAGAGGTAATAATAATAGTAATAGTAATAATAATAATAGAATGGATCCCTTTTGGAATCCCCCAAGTTATGGGAATCCGGAGAAGTGGCCAGTGGGATATGGGGAAGGTTCCCGGCACCCCGGCGGCGGCGGCGGCACAGACAGTTACTATGAACAACTCTCCCCGCTTCCACCGTTCCCACCACAATATCAATACCCTCATGACTATCAACAACCTCCGCCGTCGCCTCCCCGGCAATATCAGTACTACCCTCATGACTACCAACAACCTCCGTCGTCGCCTCCGGTGTTCCCAAACTACCAATACCCTGACAGCTGTCACTACGCTTCCACGGCTCACTCTCAAACCCACCCTACTTACGGCCAAGGTGTTGGCGGAGGCGGCGGCGGCGGCAATTATTACGGCCGGTTCCCGGGGTACTATGAGCAGCAGGAAAGCAGCGTCGGCAGCAACGTTTTCCCACCGCCGCCGGAGGAGCGCGAGGAAGAGCGGCTTCCGAAGTTTTCGGAGCAGTACCATTTTCACCAGGGGCCAGACGGCAAAACAATCAAAACGGTGATCAAAAAGTACCTGCCTTGGAATGACAAAAAGAACAAGAAGTGATTATTAGGATTTAGGACCATGGGCTATAATAATATACTCCCTAATTCGTCCTTAATTGCTTAGTTTAATACGGGGTAAGTTCTTTATTACTAGGGGTCGAGTACTTGTTTTAGACTTTGGTTGCTTTCTATGTTGTGGTCGAGTTGATCAGGATTTTGAGATTTTATATGCGTTTGTAGCATATTATTAATAATAATATTTAGAGGTATTATATTATTGAATAAATGATGTATCTCTTTTATATACCCGAGTACTATATAAACCCATACATTTTGATTTGTGTTGCAATTTTGCAATGCTCAAAACTCGAGCATCTCTATAGCATGGGCCGCCAAAAGGTGTGCAAATGCAAAATGACTATTCACACAAGACTCCCAAATTTTTAAGACCAAATATAGATAGATGTTTATTATTCTAATTGCTTGATATTTTTAAATTTAATAAAAATTATATTTTATTATTCAAATTATTATAAAAGTGATTATTAAAAATCAAATTTAGTATTAATTTTAAAATATAAGTACTGTGGAAAAAAGAAAAATGTGTTGATATCTCCCTCTCATCAAGCAAATTGAGTAGGCAATTATATAGTGGGGTATAGACTTATAGTTATAAGAAATATTTACACTAAATAGCACTAAAACTTAAGTCATTTTCTTAAATAGCAATTAAACTTTTTTATTCCCCAGCAAATATTTACTTGAATAATGACTAATGAATAATGACTAAATAAAAATATTAAAAAAACATATGTGATGCTATTTAGAGAATGTCATTATGTTTTAGTATTATTTACGTAAATTTTCCATAGTTATAAAAATACAATAAGCAAACACAACACTAAACTAAGAGTGAATTTATCTAAATAGTACTAAAACATAGTAATTTTTCCAATGTAGTTCTATATGTTTTTATTTCCTAATATAATACCACTAATTATTGTTCACTGGTCATTGTTCAAGTAAATGTCCAACGCCATTGAACATTGTTCAAACTAAACGTCCACCATCACTGAACACCGTTCCAACCACTAGATATTATATTATTCAAGTACTATTTAAAGAATAAAAAAATTTAAGTACTACATTAAAAAATGATGTATGCTATAGTACTCCCTCCGTTTCTCAAAAGTGTTCCTCTTTTGATTTTTGGGAAAAATAAGGAAATGTTAAATTGTAGTTGACTTTCCAATTTTGCCCTTGATGTGATGAGTAAAAGTAAGATGTGATAGTTTAGTTGTTAGTGAAAAAGTATGATGTAACAGGTAGGGTATGAAAAAGTAGGGATAAAAGTGGTTTTTAATAGAAAAGGAAAGTGTTTTAAGAAAAACAAAAAAATGAAAGAGGAAGGGTTTTGAGAAACTGAGGGAGTATTATTTAGTGCAAATTTCACTAAACTAAAAGCTTTTACTTCTATTTAAATAATTACCTATCCATTTCATTAAAACAAAATGAAAATTAAAGTTTTTAAAATTCCTAAAAACACTCGGGCATTGCTGCAGCAAGGAGAAACTTTTATTTTTGCTTTTGTTTGAGCTCTTGTTGGCGTAATTTAACATTATTAATATATTACAAGAATGAAATAATAACCACCCCCTTATTTATAAAGGGGCAAATTGGCAAACTACATTTTAACAAGCAGAACCTCAAAAGGAGTTTTTAAACAGAACCTCGAGTACAACTTAAAATACATCTTCATATGCTTAAGTTGACATTTCTTAGAGGACATTTTTTTGCTTAAGAAGTTGACATGGTTCAATGAGGCAAACATGAGCCAATTAATCTCATACCAGCATATGCTGAAGTACATTTTCTATTTTGAAGTGTTACCGATGAATTCTCCTCTTGTATCCCATGGGCGACTTTCGAACGATTTTCCAACCATACTGCGCTTCTGATTTACTGCAGTCCCATCGTCGCACTTGTACTCTGGGAAGTAATCGATGAACATCTTCATGCCCAGTTCATCAACTCCTTTGAAAAGGAAACTCCTGATTATTTCCTACACATAATATACACAATAATCAAAAGGTGAACTAACAAAGAACCAATTTCATGGTAAAGGGAGCAATTTCATGATCTCTTAGCTATCAATCAAACCTTTGCAAGTGTCTCCCCAGTTAATCTTCTCAGAAGTTGATGGCCGGGATCCTGAGTTCAGGAAACAAATGTTAAATCCTCAAAACATGGGTTGCATGGAGTAGTTTGTTATTTTATACTGTCCATCATCATCAAACACCCTACCTTTTCTGCCCTCCATGTGAGATACCTATGTTGAGCTTCAAGATTCATGATAATCTTAGAAGAATCTGTTTCCGCTGTTACATGGTCCATCAACTGAAGCCATGACTGTGAGAAAAACAATGAAAGATGTGACGACTGACTACAAGTCCAGGGTGTGGGTGGGTCTATGATACTTTTTTTTTTCATTGATTAATCAGTACAGTACCTTGAGATAGTCACAGAAAGCAGAATATAAAAGATGATGCTTCTGCTGGCTTGGGGGAAACTTGCTCCATATTACAATGGGCGAGAAAAACTTCATAGATTCGGAAGTGATCTTTCCTCCCCATTGGAAAAGCTGCACGCGTGAAATCCGTGTTTGTTTAATCTCCATGGGAAGATGAATTAATTACACCAGACCCCTTTTGGAGGGCGAGTCCCCTAAAACTTTGCTAACCTCAGTATACTCATTTCCAAGAGGAATTAAGTGTGTATAGTATTTTTTCTTGTAATCGTGTTGACTAATGACATTGTGTAACGGATTGAGGTCCCTGAAAAAGGGGGCAAAGAACATTGAGCAATGAGAAAAAATGATGTAAAACGGTTGTGTTGTTCACTTGTTTTTTAATCAAGTGGAAAGAGAGAAGGTAGCTTACAATAAAACTATGCTCATGGCTGCCGTGGTAAAAAAGTTGGCACAGAAAATTGGGAGATCAAACTCTACTCGGGGAAAGATGGCAAAATCTAATACCTGGATATATACGGTAATTCATAAGAAAGAAAAAACCATACATCAACAAGAAAAGGAGAAGAAGATGCTATAACTTCAAACATTTCCAGTTGTTAGCGAACGAAAAGAGAATAAGATATGATTGTAAGCGAACGAACCTGCATATTATCACTCCCTTTAATGCATAAACTTCGGAGTAGTCTAATCTTAGGTGACTCAAAAGAGTGCATGTGGAGCTCCGTTTTCCCATCAATGGAAGACAAGAAACCAAACTTCTCCTGCATTAAAATTTAGTACATCTTACTCTTTGAATATAACAACTACCGATCATATTATCAAAACTTGGAGGATTCTCATTAAAATTCATTACATGTTACATCTTCCCCTCTATCTTGGCTTTCTTTCTGTGGGAATGAGCCACTAATCTCAACGATTACATATATGATACTGTTGAAATATACTGTAAAAACATTTGTAAACCATGGCTTGAATGTCCATAAATCATTTTCCCACTTCAAACTTCAGAGAACAAGAACTTATAAACCATGGACTACTTTTTAAGTTCACAGGTTCATACTTAAAATCAGATCTTTAGAGAGCATTTGTACTTCAAAGTTTCACAGCAAACAACACAAATTGTAACTTTTGAAACAATGAGCCGGTACCTGCAATGTAGAAGGGTTCAAGTTTGTATGTTTCCTAGTTTCTTCCAAAGCAAAGTGAACAAATTTCTGGTAAGTCAAAGCATAGGGCGCTTCAGCCATTACTGGCCTCGTTTTACTGGTAATTCTGCAGCACCATTTTCTGCCATTTGAGGTATTCAAAGTACGGGCAGATGTATTTCTAGGTTTTAAGGGAGCTGAGATCATACTCAGTGAGACAAAGTGATTTGAGAAAGACTCCATTGGGAAAGCTCAAAGGTTCTGAAGTAAAAGTTAAAAGGAACTGGACAAAATTTTCTTTTCCAATTTCAAGACTTTACAGTGCTATAGCAGATTAAAAGACTAAATTGAAGTGGCTTGAGCAAGATTCCAAAGGCTAAACTTTCCGCCGTTGCTGCTGATGCTTGCCGCCGCCGCCGCCGCTGCTTCTGCCAGGGTCTGTCCGCCGTCACCAGAACCCAAAAACCCAAAGCTAATAATAGCCTCTGCTACAGCAGTGGGAGAAACCTGCCGCCGTCATTTCTGCAATTAGCCGTCGCGGGCACCGGCTGGAAAAGGAAGAAGATGGTGGCAAAAGTTGGGAGGTGATGAAGCCATTGGAGCGTTGGTTGGAAAAGGGGGAAGAAAATGATGAGGTTGAGTCGGTGAGAATAATTGAAATAATGGCACCTTTAGTGAGAAGATGAAAGAAGGTAGCTGAAGGGGTAGTGGTGACGGTGATAGGGGTTGGGCCATTGAGGTGTGGCTGGAGCAGAGACGGGAGATGGGGCGGTGGTTTGGGCTGATTGCATGGTGTGGGTATGAGTTTTTTTCCAAGATCAAATAAAAATTATTTTTCTCCTTGATCAGAAGAAAAATATTTTCATAATACTTATTTACCAAATAAGAGACGATAGAATTTAAAATTTTAGAGTAAATACTTTCTCCCAACCAAATAATTTTAAATTCATTTTCTTTTATCCTAAATTAATTTTCTCTTATTTTCTAATAAAAAAGAAAAAATATTTTTATACTCATTTTCTTTTGTGTCTTCCAAATATTTTATCTAACAATACCTTCTAATTTTAATTTTAATTCTCTGTATTTTGTATAAACTCGTGCGTTTCACGGATAGTATTTTGAGTTAGTGAAAGAAAATAAAAAATAAATTTATAGTGTATATACAAACAACACAACGAAATTGTATTCAATATATACATTAAAAGTACTATATACTAATATTGAGGAATGTATATTGAAGACAAAAAAACGATATTAAAGGTTTTAAAAGACTTGTACACAATATTTCTAAATCAAGTTAAAATAAATGTTGAACAAAATTAGCGTACAATAACATAATCAATTAAAATGTCAAGTCAAACACAAAGCTTGAGGATGAGATGTGATTTGAAAATAACCCAAGAAAAATGGTGTTTTTTTAATGAAACCAGATCCAAAACATTTGACATTATCAAAGCCTCATCACATGTTTCTCAATATAAAGTCATATCGTGATTTTACTATTTTTCATAAACTGTTACACTTTCCCATAAGTATTTATTTAAATTATTACACTTTCCAATAAACTTTTAATCTTTCTCATAAAGTATGTATTTAAGTTACATTTTTCCATAAACGTTAACTCTTTCCCATAAATTTTTACATTTTCACATAAAGTATTTATTTAAGTTACACTTTTCTATGGGTTGGAGTTCAGGTTTCAACAGTAGCCGGGGGTTCTTTTATACATTTTTTTGAAGGGCTTATTGGTTCAAGGTCAATGGGAGAGCTTAAAGTTATTGCATATGCAGTTTGGGCTTTGTGGAAGACGCGTAATGCAGCAGTTTGGGATGGAAAGGTTTCGCTGCCGGCGGTAACTATTCGGTTGATTAAGTCATTGGTTGAACGTTGGCCGGACAGCCGTTTGGGGCAGCAATTGACTCCGCCGTCTTGCTCTATTCTAGGGCAGCAAAGTTCAGAGCAGGTGCAACATTGCTTTGTTGATGCCGCTTTGTTTCCTCAGGTCGGAGAGGTAGGATTCGGTGCTGTTCTTCTTGATCCAGGTGGTAGGTTTGTGAAAGCATTTAACGGTACTATTCCGTGTTCCCAAGATCCCCTTCTAGCAGAAGCAATAGTGGTTAGAGAGGCTTTGGCTTGGTTAAAGAGAGAGGGCGGCGAGTAACTATTCGTATATCCAAGGCTGCTTTGTTGCGATTGCGACGAGTTCTGACCGATCAACTCCATAAAAGGTATTTCTTTGTTCTCTCTCAATTTCTCCAAATGTTAATGGAATTTTCACTAATTTTTTACGGCCTTTTGCAAATTCATTTATTCACATCTCGGTTTTCGTTCAAATTTGGTTGGTTTTTGTATAATTTCATGTCTTATTCTGGCATTAAGTTAATATGAATGTATTTTTTGTGGCTCTTAAATCTGAAATTGAGGGATTTATGTGTGTATTTATGACAGCGCCGGCCCAGATAGGGGGACAAATAGTCTATCCGAATCGGGTCCATGAATATGAATTTAAGGGGCCCAATTTTTCTTTAATAATATATATATGTATATAAAAAGTCCATAGCCCAATTGTTAAGGCCCGTCTCTTTAGTCCCCATCCCAGAAAAATACTCCCTCCGTCCCGCTATATTCGTCCACTTTTGATTTTTGGAATTGTTCATCTAAGCACTTTGACTCATCAAATTCTTTAAATGTGTAAGCCTAAATATAGTCATGTGTGATCTTGTATGATTTTTCTTAACATATAGATTATTAATACGGAGTATATAATTTCTATAATTTTTTAATATACAAATTACAAGATAAAATGGATTAAAGAAGTGTATTGGATGCGTGCAAAAATTACTGAGAAATTACTAAGTGTATTGGAGTAATAACGAATATCGCGAGAAGGCCTAGCGAGGTCGACGGAACATAATCGCCAATTCGGAAAACTGCCGATAGAGTGACGCCGTCGCCGCCAGAGTCCAGACGCCGCTGGGCGTCAAGCCACGAGCCTCCAGGTATTCCGTGTTTATAGCTTTCCAATTTTGTAACTTTTTTCTTTCATTTTTTCGTTCTTTAGATTTAACTAGAGTTAATTATTACTTTTTAATTTGAAATCTTTGCTAATTGCTATGAAATAGAATGAATTAATGGTTCCATATGTTCTTTATTTTATTTGGATGAATTGAATTGAATTTATGATATATTTATGATTTTATATATAAAAACTGAAAATTGAAAAAAATTAAAAACTAAAAAGTTGAAGAATTGATATAAATTTATGATTTATAGAAAAATTAAAACTAAAAAATAAAAAAATAGAAAAATTGATGAATTGATATGAATGTAGGATATATTAATTTATTTTTTCTTCTAATAATATTGCGTTAAGTATTATTTGGATATAATTGGTTTACATGTGTTAATTTGTTAGACCATAAGGGATAAAATTTTTAGGATTTTTTTTATGTTTCGGCCCAAGCCCAAGAATTCTAAGAACCTGCCCTGATTTATGAGCTCTTAAGTTTTAATTCCGAGTTTATAGGATGCAACCTGAGCATAATTCATTGATTGTATGTGTTAATTTTTTTGAACAGTTAGGGGGAAAATTTGTTCTTTTGATTTGTTTTTGGGTTATAAACTATTAAAATGGATTAGATTAATGCCTTTATTGTTAGAGAGTGCTAATTTTGATGCAGGTAGTTGATTATAGCTGGTTTTTATTGATCAGATTCTCCTTGAAATGTTTGGCTCTTTTTTGGTAAAAAAGGATTGCTTTTGGGAAATTTTTTAAAAGAGTAATTGGATTGATTTATGTACGTTAAAGTTTGAATTTTGCATTGATGGGCTTCAGTAGGAATTTCTTTGTATTTTGAGTTTTAAGTGATTTTCTATTTGGTTATGTGTGTATTTTTGAGTTGAGATGATGACCCAAATGCAAACATTCGCTAGGCTCAAAGATTTGCAAATATAGTTTGGCACTGTCTATTATGACCCAAATGCAAATGATCTGTAATCTCTCTTTGGCTAGATAGTCAAACGATCTGTTTTGTTTCTTGTCTGTTTAGATTTACAGCATAAAAAAGTAAATAAATACTTTTCATGTCTGTTTTACTTTTATACATACATATATGCATTTCATTGCTCTTCTTTTCATACTTATACTCCATTTGTTGAACCTGTCCTATTTTCCTGGCCAGTGAATCCCAGCTGAGTTTTGTTTTCTCTTACTTTCTTGAACTCTTTTTTTGCACATGGAAATTAATTTTATTAATGATGGAGAACAGGAGAGGTTACATCTGTGAGGATAATGCCTTTGACATAAGAAGGCAAGTCATAAAAAGAACTAAAAACATTACAAGTATTAACAATCATGCCAAAATGAGCCATAAAGTGAGCTGCAGAATTAGCTTCTCGGAGAGTGTGGGAGATTTTTGCATTTGAGAAATTGAGAATATTGAGGACCCGAGAGAGTAAATCTGCCACTTGAGGTTTTTTTTGAGCCCCCTTAAGAATCTTCACCCCTTTCATACAGTTAGATTGGATGAGGAGGTGTGAGTATCGCAGGTCAAACCATAGAAGGCTGAGAAGAAGTGCTGAGAGCTCACAAAAGAGGTGGAGCTGCGTGGAGGTGAAAGAAGATGGCTTCAATAAAGAGAAAAAAAATATAATTTCAGAGGAATCTGTTCAATACTTCAATCTTCTCCAGACTTAGCCCCTGCATTTCCTACTAGACCAAGTACACTTAGATCCTTGGAATGAAAAGTCCAGCAGAGATAAGTGGTCCAAGCAGCCAGCAAAATCCTCCGTAATGCCTGAAGGGGGCAGGCTTCTCCTTGATGGTCGGAAAGAGAAAGGATTGGATCGAAGTTACCCCCACATGCCAAGGTCCAATGCCTAAGTCATTATGAGAATTGAGAGCCATCTAGAGTTCCTGTCTATTCTCTCTAGTGTGCTTTCCATAGATCACAGATAACCAAAAAGTTGGGATCAATGATTTGTAATGATACCCAGTATGTAACCTAACCTGACCTGTAATAAATTGAAATAGTCATATTTCCAAAAAATGAAAAGAAACCCAAGCCTTATTATTACAAGTGGGCAACAACAACAACAACAACTATCAAGTTGGATCCCACGTGAGTAGGTCTGATTATTACAAGTGGGCGTGGCATCTAACTATCCAAATTTGCATTTGTAAAAAGCAATCTTGTTGTTTTGAAGCCTAGGTTCCAAAACAGCAATCAATGATAGAGAAAATTTGTTGATCAGTTGGTGCCATCTGTTGAATGAAAAAGGCAGCCCAAAAGCATTCCAGGAGAAGATTTTCATTTAAGACGGAAAGGTGGATAGAGAGAGTAGCCTTCTTTGCATTACCTCTAGTTGGCTGGATCTGTTTCATAGACTTTCTTAGTCATCTAAGAGTTTATCAGGGATTCCAGGAGTTTGGCAATGTTATGACAGATGTGAGAAAGTAAGAACACAAACAATCAACAATCACGGGAAGACATATATTGAACGTGGTTTACTAACAATATGTTAGTAACCTCCACGGGTAGAAGAGAAAAACTCTATTGATATGATTTAACCGGATGTTCTCTCTACAACCACAGATTGAGGATTAGAGATATAGATCATATATATAGGGAAGGGGATAGATGTAATCCTAATCCTACAGAGATACGGACTATATATACAGATGAGATTATGAAAGACAATCCTAATCGTAATCTAGTACTAATCCTTATAGACTTAGAAAACCGATTCAAGGCATTTTCTTACAGGCAATGAGCTCTTCATCACTAGCCAAATTTTCATAAATAACCAGTAGAGTGAGACTATGCCTGCCACATTGTATGTGTATTTGAGGAGATTGGGGTTTAGAAACATTCAACCTCCATCCTTGCCAGATCTCCTATCATTTTAGCAATGGCATGGCGAGCCTTATGATTATGTAACTGTACATGGAGTCCATTTGGTCACACTCATGGAGAAACCACGAATATTCCCACGCCCACGGCAAAATCAATGCTGATAGTCATCTTCTTTATCAAAGGTAAGGAGAATGTGAGCAGAGTCAAGATGACTAATAGAGTTATTGCTAGAAAACCCAATCCCTGAGAAAGCTTTACGAATTGCTTCATCAGAGGACGACCTCGAACTAAGGTCCCCACCAGTGCAAGCTTGAAACGAGAAGCTCGGTCCTGTTTCTTCAAGTGTGAAAGTGATAGAGGGCATATGCAAACGAATGGGAGGGGCGATGCCCCCTAGCAGGATGGCATACACACACACACACACACACACATACATACATATATATAGGTATATATATGTGTGTATGTGTGTGTATCTTGGCCTCTTTTTATGAACTCTATGCATATAGCTGTGTGTATGAATGATTACTCGGAATTTTGATTTTCACTGTCACGCGATCACGCCCCACAGAAGTCATTTTCATTTCAGCCACAACCTGCGAGGCACTGTGAAGTAACCATTTATATTACTGTAGTGAGAGCATGCACTTGTTCCTTTACAGTTTTTTTAAAACTTTGCTCTGCTCAATCAAGGATTTTGTTTGTTTTCCAATATCAATTTAATGCTAATGTTAGCTAGGTGTTGTATAATATATTTGCTTTAGGAAGTTATTTTTTAAACTGTTGTACACTGTGCTTGTGGAATTTTACTGGGTTTGTTGTAGTTGTTGTTGTTGTTGTCCACTGTGCCTATTGTTATAAATGTGATACATTGTGGTCCCTTGTTCTTTGTGTAATGGTTGGTATGTCATTCTTTTGCGGTGTTGCTGGTTTTGGGCTGCTTTATCTTTGAACTAGAGTCTATGGACTGGAGGGTTCACGTCTACTGTGTTGTGATTTTGTCGTGTTTACAAACGGTGGAAGAACCTTTTTTGTGGTAGTTCTAAGAAATACCGGGTGAGTTATAATGGTATGCATCTGATGGCTTTGACCAAAGCAAATATGCAATCATCTCTAGTTCAGGACTTCAGGATGTGTTGTAGAAACCAGAAGGTGTTACCAGAGAGTCTATGTGAGTTTTCATGGAGAACTCTGCCCTTTTGTGGTTGGGTTTGATGTGATAATTGCAAAGTGCTGATTTCAGACTGTTGAAACTTGAAACAACCTGATAAAGAAATTTCCCAACTTTCTCTGATTGGCTCTTTGTTTGTCAGTGTTGTCAGGATTATGATGCAGTTGAATTCGGCCAGAATTTCTAGATTCGCACCTAAGACAGAAACGAGGTCCACAACATTGCGGAGCTGGGATGACTTAAATTATGATGTATTGTTGGATATAATAAAGAGAGTGCCCTGGTATTATAGGCTATATGTGGTGTGTTTGGCGAGCAAGTCGTGGTTGTCAGCAGTATTAGACTCATTGTCAAACCCTGGTGTGATCAATCTCAAGATCTTGGATAACCCTGAGCTCGAACAGCATTTACATAATAGATATTTTCGTTTTTTGAAGCACATGCTTGATAGTAAGCCTGCTGACTCTTGGTCTTCGTTGATTCTTGGTGACAACTTGCTTCTCTCACACCAGTATGCTTATATTGCTAAAAGGTAAATGTTTTTTCTTTCTTGTATTTTGGTTCTATAGAATGACAGATACATGATAACATCATGGAGATTGGACATAGACTCCACCTGTAGGGACTTCCCTTCGATGCTTTGGAGTGCATGGCTAAATTTGGGGATTATTAAAAATATAACTTGGGAGTGGATGCTGACCTCTATGATAGATAACTAATACTCCTTCAAAGGAGATCATTTCTTGTTTCTCCGCAATTCTCATGTTTTTATTTTTTAGATGGCAGAGTAAGTAAATATGGGGATTATTTTTCAAAATGTAGCATCCAGCATGGCAGCATGCAACTTTATTTCAAGTTTGGGTGTCAAATTCTATCTGTCCCTTCTACTACTATATAAATTTTGCGTATGCACTTTATCTCAGGACACTCTCCTTGCGGCAGTTGGTTATACCCTGTTCAGTGGGTAAGGAATATGCGTTTATCCAAGCTGCTTTTAGGCATTGGAAGAAGTTGAGGCGAGTACAGTGCCCTGTATGGTTGATCAAACTGTACCCACGCAACTTTAGAAGGGTTAAGAGTCTGCGGCTATTCGGCGTTGTGGATGATGATGCAGCGATAGCAGTGCGTGACAAGTGCCCTCAACTGAAACAATTGAGGCTCATCTCATGTGCTTTATCAGTGAATGCCTTGTCAATAATATTAGACGGCCACAAGGAATTGGAGTTGTTGGACACACGCCATAGCTTCTGTGTTTCTAACTGCATGAAAATTGGTTTGTGTGGGGTGGTGGTATCACAATCTCTGGAGTGGAATGAAGATGAGATTCTTCGCCAAAAGGGCTCTGGTATTAAGGTGCACTTGAGGTGTGATCAACGGCGTTGTGCTCGGTGTGCCGTACCTGAGAAGTGCTGCTTTCCAGAACGTAGGCTTCTTCCCGAAGGTAAAGGGATTAAAAGAAGAAGGTATCACTCCATTTAATTTATGGAAAAACACACACACAAATTGTGGGAAATGAGTTTCCTTGGAGTAGTATTTCCTCTGAAATACATTGTTTTGTGATTGTTTTTATACGATGGCATAAACTTGAGAGCTACTTTTATGGTGTGTGAGTTTTCTTTAGCTACTTTTATGTACTCCAGTTTCATTCACCTGCAGCAACAAAAAAAAAAAAAAAAAGTCAAGACACTGTACTCACCAAATGGCAGAAAAATCATTTCCCTTCTTTTTAGTGCATTTTTTTCTATCGTATTCTTTTTCTTTCCTCCCTAAACAAACATACTAAGGGGCTGTTTGGCAACTTCTGAATCGGTAAGTGCTGAACCAGTAAGAGCTCTGAACCATTAAGTGCTGAACCAGTAAGAGGTCTGAACCTTTAACAGCTAGTATATTGCTTAACTATTCAGAGGCAAATGTCTGATCAATTCAGATAAGAGGTCTTAACCATTCAGAATCTGTATAATACTTAATCATTCAGAGGCAAATCTCTTAACCATTCAGACATCTGAACCATTAAGAGGCTGAAACAAACAATCTGAACCATTAAGTGCTGAACCATTCAGACATCTGAATCATTAAAAGGCTGAAACAAACAGCCCCTAAATGTGAATTAAACATAGGGTTAGAATTTGCTATTTATTATTTTGAATACCAATCAAATAAAAACAAATCTTATTCAAAATCTTTTTTTACATTTGAATTCATTATTGTCATACTTTGACTTTTATGTCAATTTTGACCACAAAATCAAATATAATTTTAAATAAATAAAAGTTATAAAATTTGATATATCAAAATTACATCTTAAGACGAACTCAGTTATATTAAATTTAGATTATAATTAAATTTATTTTTCTCACAATTTATGCTCAAAGTTAGTATAAAAATCAAACTAGAACAAATAATTTGGAACATGAGTACATAAATTCAAATAGTTTGTTTGATTTTTTAAGAGTAAACAGCTAATTTGATTTGATTGCAAACTTCTAGTGCATTTAACTCTTGTAAGAATCAATCCAGACAGAAAGTCATCTGAGAAGAGTTAAATTGAATTATAATCACAGACTAACTTGTAAAGGATGAAACTTGCACCTGGTATTCTTATAACAATATGTTTGATCTGTAGAAATCTAAAGGAAAAGAAAAGAAAATAATTCTCTTATTTCTTATTTTTTTCTTTCTTTTTTAGATCAAAGCCCACAACCTCAAGAGAGGTGGCTCCTCCTTAGCACACGTCTCGACCGGTAGTAGTCCAGCTCGTCTTCCAGCACCAATTTGGCAGATACTGTTAAATATATTCTATATTTATGTTAATTATATATTCTGTATTTATTGTATAGATATTGTTTCCTATTGTAGAATCCTACCATGATTAGGATTAGGAATAGTTTGTGTATATAAACACATGTATTCCCACATTATTGTTTAAGGAAATTCATAATTCTTCATGGTATCAGAGCCATAATTTCTCAACCCAAAAACCCTAACCCTACCCTTGCTCTCTCTCTCTCGGCGTGCTTTCTCCCAGCGCAGCACACCACCCGCCGTCCTCCTCTCCTCGGCGGCGGCAGCGGCGCAGCACAACCCCCCCCTCTTCCTCGGCAACAATTGCACCTTCTCCTCTCAATATGGCTTCCTCCGATAAAGCCTCAGAAAACTCAAACTCTTCCTCCTCCTCGAATGCTCCTCATCTTGCCTTCACAACAATCTCTAACGTCAAGCTTCATATCCCGATTCTGCTCAGCTTTTCTCAACCAAACTACAAAAAGTGGAGTCGGTTATTTCTCCTCTTGGTGCGCCGATTCACCCTACACGGCTTTCTCTCGGGTTCTTCATCTCCCTCCTCTGCTGATGATGATGAATGGTTCCAGCTCGACGCCCTGATCCAAGGATGGATTCTCTCTACTATCTCTGACGAAGTCTCAGATCTAGTCATCTCCACCACCTCCACCGCTGCTGAATTATGGCAGGTTATTCATGCACTTTTTCATGACAACAAGCATGCTCGGGCAATGCAACTCGAGCATCAGTTTCGAACCACTGTCAAGGGTACGATGACTATGGCCACGTATTGTCAAACTCTTCGGAACATTGCTGATTGGTTGGATGACGTTGAC